TCCTCCACAGCTCTGTAGCCACGTGTTCAACTGTACTCTCTCTCTGTTCCTAGCCTCACTGGCCTATGGCATGGGTAGTAATCCTGAGGAAGTGTTCTGAGGAAGGGTCACCGGACCTGAAACGTTAACTCTGACTTTTTCTTCACAGATGCTGCCAGACCTTCTGAGCTTTTCCAGCAACTTCTGTTTTTGTTGGACAATGACTTCTGTCTGTTTTCCCTCCCGTTTCAGATGTCCTGTACCCACTCAGAAACATCCAAGGACCCTGGTACCAGGGGGGGCAACACACCATCCTAGAGTCTTGTTCACGGCCACAGAAACACCTGTCTGTGCCCCTGACTATCGAGTTACTGACCACTATCGCTCGCCTGGACATTGCCCGACCCTGCTGTACAGTAGAACCAGTTGTGGTGCCACAGGCCTGGCTGCTGTTTGTACCGTCTCCTGAGAGGCTGACCAGCCCAACAATATCCAAAACGGGAAACCTGTTTGAGAGAGGAATATCCACAGGAAGCTTCCACATGACCCTGCTTGCCTCTCCTGGCGGTCGCTCATCTACTCGACTGAACCTGTGGTATAAGGTGTGAGTTGGCCTTGATAAATTGGGGAGAGTTACCTAAAAGGATGACAGTGGATAGGCGATGGCAAATTTTCAAGGAACACATGGGGGAACTGCAACAACTGTTTATTCCTGTCTGGCACCAAAGCAAAATGGGTAAGAGGGTCAATCTATGGCTTCCAAAGGAAATTAGAGATACTATCCAATCCAAGGACAAAGCATGCAGACCAGCCAAGAAAAATAATATGTCTGAGCATTGGGAGCAGTTTAGAATTCAGCAAAGAAGGACCAAGGGATTGATTAAGAAGGGGAAAATACACTACGAAAGTAAGCTTGCAGGGAACATAAAGACTGATGTTGGGTTTCTATAGGAACATGAAGGGAAAGAGATAGTAAAGACAAATGTAGGTCCCCTACAGATATAAATGGGGTAATAGAACATAGAACAGTACAGCATAGTACAGGCCCTTCAGCCCACGATGTTGTGCCGAACTTTTACCCGAAACCTAAGGTCTATCTAACCTCCACCCCTACCTTATACTATCATCCATATGCCTATCTAATTGCTGCTTAAATGCCCCTAATGAGGCCGACTCCACTACCCTCTCCAGCAATGCATTCCACACCCCTACCACTCTCTGAGTAAAGAACCTACCTCTGATGTCTCCCCTGTATCTACCTCAACTCACTTTAAAACTATGCCCCCTTGTAATAGCTACCTCCACCCGAGGAAAAAGTCTCTGGATGTCCACTCTATCTAGACCTCTGATCATCTTGTACACCTCTATCAAGTCACCTCTCATCCTTCGTTGTTCTAAAGAGAAAAGCCCTAGCTCTCTCAACCTTTCCTCGTAAGACCTTCCCTCCATTCCAGGCAACATCCTGGTAAATCTCCTCCACACCTTTTCCAACACTTGCACATCTTTCCTGTAATGAGGCAACCAGAAGTGGACACAATACTCCAGATGTGGCCAAACCAGGGTTTTGTATATCTGGAGCATAATTTCACAGCTCTTGAACTCAATCCCTCTATTAATGAAAGCTAACACACCATACGCCTTCTTAACAACTCTATCTACCTGGGTGGCAGCTTTCAGGGAACTGTGGACATGAACCCCAAGATCCCTCTGCTCCTCCACACTGCCAAGAATCTTTCCGTTAACCTTGTATTCTGCTTTCAAATTTGTCCTTCCAAAATGAATCACCTCACACTTTTCAGGGTTAAACTCCATCTGCCACTTCTCAGCCCAGCTCTGCATCCTATCAATGTCCCTTTGTAACCTAGAACAGTCCTCCGCACTATCCACAACTTGACCCACCTTCGTATCGCCCGCGAACTTACTAATCCACCCTTCCATTCCTTCATCCAAATCATTTACAAAAATCACAAATAGAAGAGGACCCAGAACAGATCTTTGTGGTACACCACTCATGACTGAGCACCACGTTGAATATTTTCCGTCCACTACCACCTTTTGTCTTCTAAGGGTCAGCCACATCTGAATCCAATCAGTCTGCCACATTTCCCCCTATCCCATGCCTCCTTACCTGCTGCATAAGCCTACCATGGGGAATCTTATCAAACGCCTACTTAAATCCACGTATACCACATCCACTGCTCTACCTTCATCCATGTGTTTGGTCACCTCTTCAAAGAATTCAATAAGGTTTGTGAGGCATGATCTACCCCTCACAAATCCATGCTGACTATCACGAATCAAACTGTGCCTATCCAAGTGATCAGTATCTCTCAGAGCCCTTTTCAATAATTTGCCCACTACTGAAGTAAGACTAATTGGCCTGTAATTTCTGGGGTTATCCCTATTCCCTTTTTTGAACAAGGGAATGACGTTTGCCTCTCTCCAATCTTCCGGCCGCTATACCCGTGGACAGTGAGGCCGAAAAGATCATCACCAAAGGCCATGCGATCTCTTCCTTCGCTTCCCATAGAATCCTTAGATAAATCCCATCAGGCCTGGGGGACTTATTTATCTTCAAATTCCTCAAAATTCCTAGTACATCTTCCTTACTAACATCCACCTCCTTGAGCCTACCTGCCTGTTTCACACTGTCCTCCCCTACAATAGGTCCCTCTCAGTTGTGAATACCGAAGAAAAGTATTCATTAAGGACCTCTCCTATCTCTTTAGGTTCCGTGCACAAATTCCCTTTACAATCCTTGATCGGCCCTACCCGTTCTCTGGTTATTCTCTTATTCTTCGTACGTGTAAAAAGCCTTGGGATTTTCCTTGATCCTATCTGCCAAGGTTTTCTCATGCCCCCTTATAGCTCTTCTAAGCTCTTTCTTCAGCTCCTTTCTGGATAACTTGTACCCCTCTAGAGCCTTTTCCGATCCTTGTTTCCTAAACCTTTTATCAGCATCCTTCTTCCTCTTAACTAGTCGTTCGACCTCTCTCGAGGACCACGGCTCCCTCACTCGACCGCATCTTCCCTGCCTGCTGGGGACAAACATATCGAGCACATGCAGTATGCATTCCTTAAACAATCTCCACATTTCTGTAGTGCTCTTCTCTGACAGCATCTGTTCCCATTTTATGTTACCCAGTTCTTGCCTAACAGAATTATAAATACCCTTCCCCCAATTATAAACCTTACCCTGCTGTATGTACCTATCCTTTTCCATGACTATTGTAACACTAACAGAGTTATGATCACTACCGCCAAAATGCTCTCCTACCAACAGGTCTAACACTTGGCCTGGTTCATTGCCAAGCACCAAATCCAAAGTGGCCTCTCCTCGTGTTGGTCTATCGACATACTGTGTCAGGAATCCTTCCTGAACGCACTGGTCAAAATCCGCTCCATCTAAACTATTACAACTAAAATGTTCCCAGTCAATACTTGGAAAGTTGAAGTCACCCATGACTACAACCCTGTGACTTCTGCACCTTTCCAGTATCTGCCTCCCAATCCGCTCCTCTACTTCTCTGCAACTGTTAGGAGGTCTGTAAAAATCCCCCAACAAAGTGACTGCTCCTTTCTTGTTCCTGACCTCAACAAAAACTGACTCTGTCGACATATCATTCTCGAACTGCCTTTCAGTAGCTGCTATATTAGCTCTGACTAGCAATGCCACTCCCCTGCCTCGTTTTCCACTCTCCCTATTTCTTCTAAAACATCTAAATCCCGGAACTTCCAACAACCGTTCCTGTCCCTGAGTCATCCAAGTTTCTGTAATGGCCACAACATCGTAGTTCCAAGTACTGACCCATGCTCTAAGTTCATCCGCCTTATTTCTGATACTTCTAGCATTGAAGTATACACACGTCAAACCATCTCTGTGTCCACAATTACGCTCCATCGACTGTATTTCTGTATTAACAAACTCACTCCCTGTTGTGTCTGTTGGAAGGCTGAATACCTCATCCTCTGAATTATAAATCTGGTTCCCCAACCCCTGCCAATCTAGTTGTTTAATCGGGGACAAAGAAACGGCTGAGCAATTTTGGTTCTGTCTTCACAAAAGTGGACGCATATCAGACACCAGAAATGTTGGAGAATGCAAGATTTAGTGAGAGGGAAGGATTGAGGGAGACCAATCTTATTCGAGAAATGGTGCTGGGAAAATTGATGGGATTGAAGGCGGATAAATCCCCAGGGCCTGATAATCTACATCCCAGAGTACTTAAGGAAGTGGCTCTGGAAATAGTGGATGCATTGGTGGTCATCTTCCAGGATTTTATAGACTCTGGAACAGTCCCTGCAGATTGGAGGGTGGCTAATGTCCCTCCAATATTCAAAAAGGGAGGTAGAGAGAAAACAGGGAATTATAACATTGGTAACGGGGAAACTTCTCAAATGCATTGTCAAGGATTTTATAGCAGAACATTTAGAAAGCTGTGGCAGGATTAGACACAGTCAGCACGGATTTATGAAGGGGAAATCATGTTTAACAAATCAAAGGTTATGGGGAGAAAGCAGGATAAGGTTATCAAGCTAGATGATCAGCCATGATCGTGATGAATGGCGGAGCAGCTTCAAAAGGCCGAATGGCCTCCTCCTGCTCCTAGCTTCCATGTTTCTATGACCACTTCCCTAAAGCTAGTATCTATCAATCTCTCTACCCGCTGTATGCACTGCAGTGTGTCCAACTGCTTCTCCAACCAAACCACGCGGTCTGTGAGGACCTGCAGCTGGTCACACTTCCTGCAGACGGAGTTGTCAGGGACACTAGACTGTTCCCTGATTTCCCACATCTGGCAGGAGGAGCATACCTCTGGGTTTCTGGATTAACAGTCCAGTGATAATACCACCCATTTATCACTTCCCCCACTGCTTACTGTCATCTAAGGTGTGTGCTCTTCACTCCGAAAATCATTTGGACAAACTCCCTCTTTTGCCCATCATTTCAAGAACAGATTCAACTGGAAGTCATTTCTCAAACCCCTGAAGCATCCTTTGGTGTAAATGTAGTTACTTACCGTCTGACCCTTCGCTGTCTGACCTGAGCTTCCTTCATTCTCTGCAGCTCTGACATGTAGGCCATTATGCGGGTGTTGCAGGTCAATAGGCTCTTTGCTGCCTCCAGTGCTTGCTCTCTCTGTGTACAGGCTGCCAACAATTTGCATGTCCCATCTCGCATTCGGATTTCATAGTCAATCTTCTTTTGGAAATCAGTGTCCTGTAAAACATGGGAGTAATCAGTACTTTATCAAAAGCAGCACAACAAGTCAAGGGCACGCAGAATGCTGTGAGAATCCAGCTAGATTATAAATGAGTGAGCTCTGAGGGTGCAAGTGAATGGTCTGAAGATGCAGCCTGTTCTAGTCCATGAGCTGAGGACATGTCCCTGAGCACACAGAGTCCTTGCTATAGCTTTACAATGAGAACAGCCACTGCAGCTTGAGCATGCTTGGTTTGAGCAGAATACCACCGGCGTGGCAACGCCTGCCCCGACAGCCCCAGACACACCTGTTCCCTCTGTCACTGTTTCAGAAATCAGATCAGTCTTCCTGGAACTCAACCCAAGGAAAGCAACAGGCCTGGACGGTTTCCCCTGCCGAGCACTCAAATCCTGTATGGGACAACTGGCAGAGATTTTCACCAACATCTTCAACCTCTCCCTCCTACAAGCTGAAGTCCCTACCTGCTTCAAGAAGACCATCATCCCCGTACCCAAGAAAACACATGCAGTGTGCCTTAATCACTACCTCCCGAAAGCTCTGACTGATCTCAAAACTGCGTGACCTTGGTCTCGGCTCCACCCTCTGCAACTTGATCCTCAGCTTTCTGACCCATAGACCGCAATCAGTGAGGATAGGTAACTGTACCTCCTCCACAATAACACTTAACACTGGAGCCCCCCAAGGGTGTGTCTTCAGCCCCCTACTGTACTCCCTGTACACCCACGACTGTGTTGCCAATTTCCAAATGAATACCATCTACAAGTTTGCTGAGGACGCCACCGAAGTGGGACAGATATCTAACAATGACAAATCAAAATACAGAAAGGAGATAGAGGGCTTGGTGATGAGGTGCAATAAAAACAACCTTTCTCTCAATGTTAGAAAAACTAATGAACTGATCATTGACTTCAGAAAGAAAGGAGAACATGCCCCCATCTACATCAATGGAACTGAGGTTGAGAGAGTGAAGAGTATCACGTTCCACAGAGTGATGATAACCAATACCTATCCTGGACTTCCCATGTAGATGTGACAGTGAAGAAGGCACAACAATGCCTTTTCTTCCTCAGGTGACTCAGGAAATTTGCCATGTCCATAAGGTCCCTCACCAACTTCTACAGATGCACCATTGAAAGCATACTGCCCGGGTGCATAATGGCCTGGTACGGCAACTGCTCTGCCCATGACTGTAAGAAACTACAGAAAGTGGTGTGCACAGCCCGGACCATCATGGAAGCCAACCTTCCATCCATGGACTCCATTTACACAGCTCGCTGCCGCGGAAAGGCTGACAACATCATCAAAGACCCATCGCACCCTGGTAATGATCTCCTACAACCTCATCCATCAGGCAGAAGATACAGAAGCTGGAACACATGCACAAGCAAGTTCAGGAAGAGCTTCTTTCTGGCCGTTATCACATCTTTGAATGGACCCTGTATCCTCAAATAATGTAATCTGCAAAGTAACCTGTATAACTCTAAATCTTTTTGATCTGTACATCCTTTGTTTGCTGTGATCTGCCTGGACCACTCGTAAACAAAGCTTTTCACTATATTTGAGTACGTGTGACAACAAAATCAATCAGTTAGGAAGTACAGAGATGTCCTGGATGTGGATCAGAGACGTGCCTGATGATTCTTAGAGGCTGGCATGTGGCAGATGCCAATTGGGGGAAGTGTGGCTGGTGCCCATGGACCATGCCCTGAGATAGTGTTGCATGGACACCGACATGGTTGGTTGGTTGGATCATGTGGTGAGATGAAGTCGCCAGGTACTCATTAACTTCCATGTCAAGGATTCTCAGTGTCCACTTTGTTCAGTGCATTTGTTAAGATAGAAAACTGGACACTAATGATGTTAATAATGTACAGTTAATAAGGTCCTGAACAAGGGAAGAAACCCTTGGCAACTTGGAGGGCATCCACAGCAAGTTTAGAAGAGTGATCCTTAGGAGTGAAAGGGTAGTCAAATGAAACATGGTTGAGGACTGTTGGTCTGTATTCGGTTTAGAACGATGAGGGGAGATCTCATTGGAACTCTCAAAATACTAAAAAGCCTGGGTAAAGTGGACATTGAGAAGATGTTCCCTCTCATGGGTGAAAGTAGGACCCGAGGGCACAGCCTTAGAGTGAAGGGACAACCCTGAGATGGGGAAGAATTTCTTCAGCCAGAGGGTGGTGAATCTGTGGAACTCATTGCTGCAGAGGGCTGTGGAGACTGAGTCATTGAGTGTAGTTACATCAGACACACATAGGTTTTTGATTAGTAAAGGGATCAAGAGTTACTGGGCAAAGGCAGGAAAATGAGGTTGAGAAACATATCAGCCATGATTGGAGCAGACTTGATGGGCTGAATGGCCTAATTCTATCTTCCGATTTTCCCTAACTTGCTGCTGCCTAGCCAGAAACTCACATCAACACACGACAGTTACATACAAGATGCAGCAAGTTGCTCCTAACATCAAGACTTCACTAGACTTCTTGTGTGATTCTGCCACAATGTAAGAGTCTGCTGTGATTCATGATAGCCTAGTGGTATTATTGCTGGACTTTTAATCCAGGCACTCAGGATTGTTATGGGGACCCAGGTTAGAATCCCACCACGGCAGCTGGTGGAATTTGAATTCAATTGACATCTGGAATTAAGAGATGACCATGAACCCATTGTCAATTGTTGTAAAAACCCATTTGGTTCACTAATGTCCCTTTGGGAAGAAAACTGCCATCCCTACCTTGTCTGGCCTATATGTGACTCCAGACCCACAGCACTGTGGTTGACTCTGAACTGCCCTCTGGGCAATTAGTGACGGGCAATGAATGCTGCCTGGCCAGCGACGCCCTCATCCTAAAAATTCTTCTCTGAACTGCCTCTGACAACGTCACATCATTTTTTAAATAATGCTGCTCCAGATGCAGAACGTGATATACACGTATACAATATTATAATATTGTATGCTCTGTGGAACTAAAGTATAACTTCTCTGCTTTTGTTCCTAATTCGCTTCGCGATTAATGATAACATTCTATTAGCTTTCCCAATTACATGCTATATCTTCTTGAAGTCTCCTTGCACTTTCTCACAACTTACTTTCTCACACAGCTCAATGTCATCAGCAAATTTGGAAATATTACAAATGAAATCAGAAATTCCTGGAAAAACTCAACAGGTCTGTTGAGAGAAAGCAGAGTTAACATTTTGGGTCCAGTGCTTTATTCCAGTAAATTCCAATGTTGAACATCCACAATTCTTCAGTTTTCTTTTAGAATTATAGAATCCCTACAGCATGGAAAGAGACCATTTGGCCCATCAAGTCTGCACCAACCCTCTGAAGAGCATCCCACCCAGATCCAAACACCCACACTATCCCCATAACACTACCATGGCTAATCCACCTAGCCAGCACATCTTTGGACTGTGGGAAGAAACTAGAGTGGCAGTGGGCTGGGAACCAGAGCAGCAGGTCAATAATTGAAGGGTTTGAGGGGAAGGTAAATGTTAGGACCAGTAAATTAGAAAGGCAGGACAGGCAGAGACAGGTAAATGGACACAATAGTACTAATGGGCTGAAGTGTGTTTATTTCAATACAAAGGAGTATTATAGGTCAGGCAGATGAGCTTAGAGCCTGGATCAGTACATGGGACTATGATGTTGTGGCCATTACAGGGACTTGGTTGAGAGAAGGCCAGGACTGGTTGCTCAATGTTCCAGGGTTTTGTTGTTTTAGACAAGATAGAGAGGCAGATAAAAGAGGTGGCGGAGTTGCGTTAATAATCAGGGAGAATGATAGCGCTTTCCAAACCCACAACCACCAGCATTTAGAAGGAGATAGGCAGCAGATACACGAGAACACACACCTGAAAGTTCCCCTCCAAGCCACTCAACATCCTGACTTGGAAATATATTACCATTCTTTCACTGTCACTGACGGATGTTGAGGTTAGGGATAGATGTTTGATTACTCTCGGTCAAGTCAGCATAAGGAGGGGGGAAGTGTTGGGTATTCTAAAAGGCATTAGAGTGGACAAGTCCCCAGGTCTGGATGGGATCTATCCCAGGTTTCTGAGGGAAGCGAGAGAAGAAATAGCTGGGGCCTTAACAGATATCTTTGCGGCATCCTTGAGCACGGGTGAGGTCCCGGAGGACTGGAGAATTGCTAATGTTGTCCCCTTATTTAAAAAGGGTAGCAAGGATAATCCCGGTAATTATAGACCGGTGAGGCTGACGTCAGTGGTGGGGAAGCTGCTGGAGAAGATACTGAGGGATACAATCTATTTACATTTGGAAGAAAATGGACTTATTAGTGATAGGCAGCATGGTTTTGTGCAGGGAAGGTCATGTCTTACCAACTTGATAGAATTCTTTGAGGAAGTGACAAAGTTGATAGATGAGGGAAGGGCTGTAGATGTCATATACATGGACTTCAATAAGGCGTTTGATAAGGTTCCCCATGGGAGGCTGATGGAGAAAGTGAAGTCGCATGGGGTCCAGGGTGTACTAGCTGGATGGATAAAGACCTGGCTGGGCAACAGGAGACAGAGATGTGGAAGGGAGTTTCTCAAAATGGAGAGCTGTGACCAGTGGTGTTCCACAGGGATCCGTGTTGGGTCCACTGTTGTTTTATCTGGAGGAAGGTATAGATGGTCTGATAAGCAAGTTTGCAGATGACACTAAGATTGGTGGAGTAGCAGATAGTGAAGGGGACTGTCGGAGAATGTAACAGAATATAGATAGATTGGAGAGATGGGCGGAGAAATGGCAGATGGAGTTCAACCCAGGCAAATGCGAGGTGATGCATTTTGGAAGATCCAATTCAAGAGCGAACTATGTGGTAAATGGAAAAGCCCTGGGGAAAATTGATGCACAGAGAGATCTGGGTGTTCAGGTCCATTGTACCCTGAAGGTGGCAACGCAGGTGGATAGAGTGGTCAAGAAGGCATACGGCATGCTTTCATTCATCGGACAGGGTATTGAGTACAAGAGTTGGCAGGTCAT